CCTAACATTTTAAATCCAGATGGGAGAGATTTTTTTCATTTCCTCTAAAATAATCATTGTCAGAAAGCTTCTGCAGGATATGCTCCAGCAAAAGAAGAGTATAAAGCAATAAAGAGGAAAACACAGGATCCAGGGAACAAGAGGCTCTAATATAGAAGAGCAGCAAAGGAGAATCCAACTCTTACACTTGGGCAGCAGCCGCGGAGAGCAGTCAAATGGAAGCAGTGGGACAAAGGGCACTCAGAGAGTTGATTCCAGAAAAAAACAAAACAAACTGAAACTAATACTGAGTAACTGGAAAATACTGCAGGCACGTGACAAAGATAATTCAAACATTTGGAAATAATTAGTAATAGATATATTCCACCTATATGAAATAGTCAGATTTACCACAGAGACAGAAAGCAGATCAGTGGTTGCCAGGGACTGGGATTAGAGAGGAACGGGAATGACTGCTTAACAGATACAGGATTTCCTTTTAAGATGACAACGTTCTGGAAGCTAGATAGTGGTGATGGTTGCACAACTTTATAAATGTACTAAATATTACTGAATTGCACACTTTAAAATGGTTGAGTTTTATGTTGTATTTTACAATTTAAAAAGAAGAAAACAGATACAAAGCAAATTAAGCAACAGGAGGGGCAATTATTAACTCCAGGGAAAATAAAAGATTATACAAGAGAGTAGAAATGATTATTAATTCACTCCTTGGCTTAGTTGTCTTTGCATATCATAAATAATGGTCACAGATTTAACCAAAATCTGTAATATTAACAGATTGGAGGAATGCAGGTAAAAGAAGGTATATGTTTGGGAAAGTGGTAATAAAGTTAATTAATCCTCACCTACCACATCAAGAAGTCACCAGACAATATCTAAATTGATAAACTGAAAGATAGTGGTACAAGCTTATTAGTTAGAAGTATGGAGGTAAATAAGAGAACAGCAGAAAAGGTGAGGGTGGTTGCTCCAGGTGGGAATCAGAGGTGGGTGGAGTGGGAGGGAACGTGAACTGCTAGTTTTTATAAGCATTCTAGTCCTCTTTGAATTTTTAACTGTGTACAAGTATTATACACCTTAAAATTCTTAAAAAAATAAAAAGCAGAGGGACATATTTGTAACCTAACTTTCTAAACTTAAATTCAAAAACCTGTAAAAGATCAATCGACTTGACTGTATGAAAAACCCAAAACCGCAACACATCAAAAGGTATCCACAGTTTCTGGGACTGGAGAGGAACGGCAGCCGCCTTGGTGCTCATTCTCCACACATCGTCTTTAAAAATTCGAAGACCCTAGCTCTCTGGGAGGCCGAGGCGGGCGGATTGTTTGAGCTCAGGAGTTCGAGACCAGCCTGAGCAAGAGCGAGACCCCGTCTCTACTAAAAATAGAAAGAAATTAATCGGAAAACTAAAAATACATAGAAAAAATTAGCCGGGCATGGTGGCGCATGCCTGTAGTCCCAGCTACTCGGGAGGCTGAGGCAGGAGGATCGCTTGAGCCCAGGAGTCTGAGGTTGCTGTGAGCTAGGATGACGCCACGGCACTCTAGCCCGGGCAACACAGTGAGACTCTGTCTCAAAAAAAAAAAAAAAAGAAATCGAAGACCAACAGACAAAACCAAACATGAGCAGTGCGTGGTAGGGGCGGTAAGTACGAAGAGAACAGAAATTGCAGAAATGGTCACCAGCACAAACGTCTTCAGCCATCAGGCAGACGAAATCAACAAGGGAACCAGCGTGAACAAGCGAGTCCGGCCAGGTCCAAGAGAATGGGGTGGGGACCACAGGAAGCGAAAAGCTTGAGTCCCTAAAACTGCTGAATCGGAGACACTGCAAAACATCCCAAACCAGCTGTCCCGTGGGCAACCTTTGCTAGAGTGAAGGACGCAGGAGGGTCTGGAAGCGCCAGGGAAGAGAGGAAGAGGAAGGACTGAGCCTCCTCCATCCCGGCAGCATTCCCAGGAGGCAGAATGCCACAGAGAGGGGTGTGGTCGCAGAGCCGGTGAGAGAGGGTGATCAACAGACTCCCCAGAAGAGAGAAGAGCGAAGCGGCATTCCGGCGTTCGACTTCCTTCGAGAACACCGCCTCCCCTCCACGCGCCGTCGTCATCCCACAGGGGCAGCCGGGAGCCAGGCCTGGCCCTCCCGCCTGCGCCAGCATCTAGGGCCGCTCCCCACATCCACGGGGCGGCTGGGCATTGTCAGCAGCAGTGGCTAGGACACAGGATTTAGGAGGCGGTGGCAAAGTCATAAAATGCTCAATATCACCAGCAATGAGCACTGTAAGACTCCTCACACCTCCAAACACACAGCAAGTCATAACCCAAATGTACACTTTAACTTTTTTATTTCAGCATATTAGGGGGGTGCAAATGTTTAGGTTACGTATGTTGCCCTTGGCCCACCCAGAGCTTCAAGCGTGTCCATCCCCCACATGGTGCGCATCGCACTCATTATGTTTGCATTTACCCATCCCCTCCTCCCCCTCCCACCTACCTGACGCCCGATGAATGTTACTCCTGTATATGCACTTAGGTGTTGATCACTGAAACCAATTTGCTGGTGAGCACATGTGGTGCTTGTTTTTCCATTCTTGGGATACTTCACCTAGTAGAATGGGTTCCAGCTCCATCCAGGAAAATACAAGAGGTGCTATATCACCGTTGTTTCTTGTGGCTGAATTGTAACTCTCATGGTTACAGATATTATTAACAACAAGCACTTTGTACTTGCTAACTCAGTAAAAAGAACAAAGAGAAACAATTTAAGACAAAACATTTTAATGAACATTATGACAAAAATGAGTCCTTGTTTTGCTAAAAACATGTAAAAAATTATGAATTTGTTTCAAAGAAAGCTTTCAGAATCAGTTTTGCCTGAAATCTGTAACTCGGGTGAGAGCTCCCGCCCACCCTCAGCACTTTCTCCCTGGCAACACCTCTCAAGAGGGCCGTCCTCAGGACTGGCTTGATTCATGCTCAGGGCTGATAACGGCATGTCTAGGTAAACGCTTCACAGCTGGCCATGGAACACAGTATGAATGCCTTTCCTTCCCTGATACATGTGTAATTGCTTAGTTTTTCATTTGCTTGCTTCTTGGGGTCATAATTCAACCCCAAACTTTTTGCCAGTTGTCCAAATCTCTCCATATCCTGATGTATCAGGTTGTCTGCAAATGCCATCTTATAACCAACTCGATGAACTCCCATGTTTTTTATAATCTTTTCCCTTAACTACTTGATCCTTTGAGTTGTTTCCCAAAAAATGATGGACTCAAATTTCAGGCCTCAAGTGATCCTCTCTCCTGGACCTCCCAAAGTGCTGGGATTATGGGTGTGAGCCACCACACCAGGCCTGAAATGATGGATTTTCTACAAGACAAAGGAGTTGGATTCTGAAGGCCCCAGGGCAAACCTCCTGGTGGCAAGATCCTGCATCCCGCATAACCTGCCCCCCATGTATGCAGCCCCTTGCAAGACCTGCCCCACGGCACACAGTCTCTCCTTGAAAAGTCCACGATATTCCTTAGTCGGAGAGAAGGATTTGAGGCAGCTTCTCCCGTTCTCCTGAGAAGACGCATGTCATATTAAAGATTCCTTTCTTCCTTGGCAATCTTTGTCGTCTGAATAATTGGATTTTTCTGTGACGAGCAACTGGACCTAGACCGAAACCCCCTTGTGGTTTCGACAACCATCGCCTTCACGGTCTGCTGCCCTGGTCCAAACTGGCAGGAGGAGGGGGTGGTGGCTGCCATGCAGAGGGGATGAAGTGCCAGGAAGACAGGAGAACAGGGGCCTCTGGACGAACCAGTCCAAAGTCTCCTGCGCAGCCTCTCAACGCGAAGGGTCAGCGCTCAGCGAAGAAAAAGTGGACTTTCCCCAGTTCCCCGTGAGTACCTGCCCTCACTACACTGAGGGGACTGTGGACAAGCAACAACTAAAGAAGAAAATGGTCTGTTTCATAGAGTGTCTTTTGTTCTTTTGTGTCGATGCCCAGTAATGGGAATGCTGGATCAAATGGTAGTTCTACTTGTATCTCTTTGAGGTATCTCCACATTGCTTTCCACAGAATACATGAGTGGAATAATAAAATGTGGTATATGTATACCATAGAGTACTATTCAGCTTTAAGAAACAATGTTGATATAGCACCTCTTGCATACTCCTGGATAGAGCTGGAACGCATTCTACTAAGTGAAGTATCCCAACAATGGAAAAAGCAGCACCACATGTACTCACCAGTAAATTGGTATTAACTGATCAACACATAAGTCCACATATAAAAATGACATTTACTGGATGTTGTGCAGGGGGGAGGAGGGGACGGGTATATGCATATACAAAGAATGCGGCGATGCGCACCATCTGGGGGATGGACACGCTTGAAGCTCAGACTTGGGGTGGAGGGGAAGGGCAACATACGTAACCTAAACATCTGCTATACCCCCATGATATGCTGAAATAAAAAAAAAAAAAAAGAAAGAAAGAAAGAAAATGGTCTAAGCTTGCCTAAGAAATCCAGAAGTACTTTCAGGAGAATTCTACATGTGTCGTTTTGGCCTCAGAGTCCTTGGCCGGTGGCAGGTTCTAGGTTGGAGCAAAATCCGTGTCTACCCTGCAAATCTCTTCCAAGATGACACAGCCATCATGAGCAAGAGCAGTAACTGGTGGTCAGTGCCTGTTGTCACTTTAAACACAGCGTGTTGTTCCACATGAATACCACGCGATGGTCCTCAGCATACGAGGGACGCACCTCCCTTTCAGTCACACCCTTTCCAATGCATGCCAGAGGCGGGTGACGTGAATCAAAACTCACCTAAGAATTCTTCACTTGCTCAGAGGACCCTCTGCATCTACTGCAAAACATCCTTTTTCTTCTCTCTTCTGTATTTTCCCAAATTTCTACCCTGGCATGTACTATTCTTTCTAATTATAAAATAATCGTCCACTTTTTAAATAACCATGTATATCTAGTGACATAAAAATCCATCCAACCCATTTTTTAGTAAATATGGCTATGTTATGACAATTTTATTTTGATTTTTAAAAAATGCGTCTCTTGAATTACTTAGGGCTTTGGGTCATAGAGGATTAGCCACTGTCATATTCAAAAGGATGCATTTATTCTAGGCAAATCTTAATTTTCTTTATCTTCTTCAGAAGCAGCTGTAGGAATCCCTAGAAGACTGAGTAATGTCCATCTAAAACACCGTTACTGAAACTTGATTCCTTGGGCCAGAGGAAGGTCCTTACTGTAGTTGATGGTACTAGGGGGAAAAACGTGAACAAAAATTAATGATAGCATATACATAATATAGACTATTTTCACGTCATGAAAAAATGCAGCAGATCTGTACATATTAACAAGGTAAACTGTCCAAGTTAAATGTTGGTAAAGAAAAAAATTTAAGATACAAGACAATGTTAGTATGGATCTAGTTTTATAAAAGAAAAAAAAGAGAAACAAAAATCCAGAAAGATACACATCATACACGTTATTCACAGTTTTTCTTTTGAGTAGGCACAAGAATATGGGGTCTGTCACTTTCTTCTTTATCTCTTAATAACTTGTATTGAATTATCAGGGAAAACACAGATATTCTCATTTTGATAGAAATAAAATAAGAAAATATAAAAGTTTAGAAAATAAAAGCTTCTCTAGTAACTAGTCACTTGCTCTTTCTCCTGAGAGGAAAAGTAGAGCCATTAAATGGGCTCTAGAAAAACCGCAGCTAAATGTGTCTACGTTTCTGGCTCTCGAGTGCATGAGAAAAGTAAAAGGCATAGAACCGACTCCAAAGACTGGGAAGCCGGCAAAGGGTGTGTGCATGTTGGAGACGCCTAACAAGCCGTAGCCAGAAGCACCTGAGAACTCCTGACAGGAATGCTGTCGTGGGGACACTGAGGCAGCAAGGCTGAGGACCCGTCCACGGCAAATGGCACGGGATGGCTGTCTCTCGGCTCCTCACCCAGTGCTCTTCCTACAGCGTGCCACCGCATGGACCTGATCCCACAGACTCTGCTTTATTACACTTGGATAACAGCTATTTCTACCCAAGGTAGGAGGGGGATAGACTAAAAGTATGAGAAACAAGTCCTGGTCAAAACCTCTCAGAAGCAGGCTCCTCCGCCAGCTACGCCCATGCTGGGTGAACCGGCTAGTCCACCTCCAAGGGTCCCGCTCACGGTACCCCAGCCCCTCCCCCCTCCCTCCCTCGTCCCCGGCTTCCCAGTCTGCAAGGGTGGCCGCCCATTCTGGAGCAAATGAAAGGACAGCTTCCTCCGCTTTCCCCTGCTGGCCGAGCCTGCGGGTCCTGCGCCTATCCACCTCCTGGATAGAAACCACGGATGAAACAGTTTAGGGTTGGGTGCTGGCCACTAGCTGAGGCTGGACAAGAAGGCTAGAAAAATAACAGGACAAAACAGATGCTCTGAGGAGACAGCTGTGGAATGCTAGAAAAATAAAATCAAGACAAACTGTCGAAGACAGTACAGACAGTAGAAGAGTATAAAAACACATTCCCAGTGGCTTTAGCCCAAACTCGTCTTCCCAAAGCCTTTTCTTACCAAGTAGATCTTCTCATGTACTGTTTCCAGGCATCACTGCCGGACTCCCTGCCACCGCCAGTGTGCTTCTCTCCTCCTAGAAAAATACAGAATGATCTCACATCTTTCGAGCAGTTTCTTCCTGTGTGGGGTCCTACTCAGTGTCACTGAAATGAAAACATCGAGAGGAGACCACAAGGCTGGCACAGTGGCTCACGCCTGTAATCCCAGCACTCTGAGAGGCTGAGGTGAAGGAACACTTGAGGCCAGGAGTTCAAGACCAGCCTGAGCAACACAGTGAGACTCTATCTCTACAAAAAATAGAAAAATTTGCCAGGTATGGTGGCGCACGCCTGTAGTTCCAGCTACTCAGGAGGCTGACGTAGGAGGATGGCTTGAGCCCAGGAGTTTGAGGTTGCTGTGAGCTCAGATGACGCCACTCACCACACACTCTAGCCCAGGCAACAGAGCGAGACTCTGTCCCCCCAAAAAAAGAGCGACCACAGCCACCTGACCACTTACTTTACATTTAGCCCACAGAGACCAAAACACACAGAAAAAAGGAACTAAGAGGGAAAATAAAATATAAAGAATTAAGAGGAAATAGAAATACAAGAGGAAGAAAACCTTAAAAAAAAAATTAGACTAAGGTTTTAAGAGTAGAAACCTCTAGATGGTGGAAAAAATTTCATTTTCTCATTTATGCATCTCTAAATATCCTACTTTTCTACTATACCTTTATCATTTTATAATAAAATATTTTAAATGCTATATTAATATGCTCAGAGAGGTTACAAGAAGGTAATGATTCCATAAAACAAGAAAAGGATACTATTAAAAAGTGTGCCATCAAAGTACAAGAAATAAGTCTTGGTGATGTTTTTAACAATAGCAGAGGGGAAAAAACTCAACAGAAGAATTAAAAGAAAAATTTGAGGAAATCTCCCATATAGATAACAAAAAGACTAAAGAGAGGGAAAATAGGAGGAAAAAGATAACAAAATTAGACAATCAATCTTCAAGAGACTACATTCAAATGATAGTTCCAGAAATTAAAATAGAGAAACAGATGGGGGAAATCATCAAAAAAACCTCTCAAAAGAAAACTAAGCCAGGCGTGGTGGCTCATGTCTGTAATCCTAGAACTCTGGGAGGCTGAGGCGGGAGGATCGCTCGAGGTCAGGAGTTCGAGACCAGCCTGAGCAAGAGCAAGACCCCGTCTCCACTAAAAATAGAAAGAAATTAGCCAGACAACTAAAAATATATATAGAAAAAATTAGCCGGGCTTGCTGGCACATGCCTGTAGTCCCAGCTCCTTGGGAGGCTGAGGCAGGAGGATCGCTTGAGCTCAGAAATTTGAGGTTGCTGTGAGCTAGGCTGATGCCACCGCACTCTAGCCCAGGCAACAGAGCGAGACTCTGTCTCAAAAAAAAAAAAAAAAAAAACTAACCAAAACTTCCTAGAACTCAAAACCATGAGTCCTAAGACACTAATGAGGCCACTGATTGTCCCAAAAAGTCTTAATGAGATCTCCACTGAGGCACATCATTATGAAATGTTAGAACTAAATAGTAGACCCAAAAATTTCTGAAAGAGGAGAAAAAAACAATCTGAAATCAAAATAGAAATAGACTTTTCAACTGCAATACTGGAAACCATAAGACAAATGAGTAATGGCTTCAAAATTCTGAGGACAAATTATTACAAACTGTGCAAAAAAAGCATAGAAGGTACAGTCAGTTCTCACTTAATGTCATCAGTAGGTTCTTAGAAACTACGACTTTAAACGAAATGATGAATAAACAAAACCAGTTTTACCAGGGGCTAATTAATACAAACAAAAGCTAAGTTCCAGCAGCATATTTCTGGTCTCACAGAAACATCGCCACACTTCTTAAATAAAGACCCCAAACACTTCTAATATTATCTGAGGACCTGCTGTATAACAGGCTGCCTTGTAAGATCGCTGGCATCTGAAAACTTGGGTGGTAAACAGTATCCCCGATACTAATATAAAACTTTCCTTAAATGGTAAGGGTGGCTCACTGAGCCTAAACTGTTTTTGTACAACAATGAGGTTTATGCTCAACACCTGCTTTTGTTCTGAGAGTCTGGAATTTGGGTATGTGCTAGGCAGAGGGTGCCTACATGACTAGCCCCCAGTAAAAGCCTTGGGCACTGAGTCCAATGAGCTTTGCTGGCAGACAACATTTCACACACGTGGTCACAACTCGTTGCGGGAGGAATTAAGCACATCCCGTGTGACTCCACGGAAGACTCTTAGACGTCTGTGCCTGGTTTCCACCAGACCCCACTCCATGCAATAATGTCGTATCACATGTTAAGAAGATACAGGAAAAGAGAAGGAGGGTTTAGAAAGATTATCGTAACAGAGGGTTGATACATAATGTCTAAAGCTGTCAAGGAGAGAGCAATGAAAGCGCACTATTTAGAAAAACTGAGATAAATTCAAGGTAAATTTACTTTTTTTTTAGTCTGAAGAATCTCAAAGCAGCCTTTTGGGAAAGAGGTGTAGGCAGAACTGCTTTTCCATTAGAAGACTTTCTCAAAATTCTTGAAATTAACAATGAAAGTTCAAACCAAGAATAGTCAAATGGAGAAAGCAGGCATGGGTTGGAAACAGGGATTAGATGCCTATAGAAGGAGCAGACAGACTCTCTTACTTTCAGGCAACTGGACAGAGGGGACAGAGGTGAGGCGCTGGACTAAACACAGACTTTTGGCAAAGTCTTTACACCCAATAGTAATTGCAGTGCTTGGTCTAAAAATATTAATATAAAAGAATGTCACTGAGTATATAAACTTTTACAGGTATTAATGCATATTTGTTTTCTTTCTATATCTAAAAACAAGGCAATCTGTTTTTACTATACTTCGGATCATTTATTATTATTTTTATTTTTTAGAGACAGGGTCTCACTATGTTGCCCACACTGGCCTTGAACTCCTGACTCCACGCAATCCTCCCACCTAGGCCTGCCGAGTAACTCGGACTATAGGCATGTGCCACTGCACCCAGCCTTGATCATTTTGAATAAGTAAAACTTAATAAAAAATTGTTGGGAAGAGTTTGTTTGTTTTTTAAACTATTACCAAGTTTAAGCATTAATGACACATAGCTAATTAAGAGCAATTAGGAGCAGGGCCCAGTGGAAAGAAACAACTTAGAATTTTATCTAGTGACCGATAATACGTTTAACACTTATTATACCTGCTTTGCAAATTAAAATCAGAATATTTCATGTAAAATGCTCTGGCTTTGAAGCAGGGATCCTTAATCTTTTTGGGGTCTTAGATCCTTTCCCCAGAAAACAGATGCCACCATTTCAGGGGTTCGCATATCTCAGGTTAAGAGCCTCAGCTCTGATCTGACGCTGCATCTGAGAAGAAAATGCAGGACTCCGGGCGATAACTTTGAATATGGAATGTAAGCTCTTTCAGGCATGCTAGATCAAAAAAGGTTATTTCAGAATGTAAGTAGTGTTTCCGTTTCTTGGTCAAGTCTTTCTAAAAGTTACTACTGCTTTTCCTTTGCTGCCCAACATGAAAAAGGAGAAATGATTCTCTACATACCAAATGCACCTCCAATCTCAGCACCACTCGTTGGAATATTGACGTTTACGATGCCACAGTCAGATCCTTTAGGCCTGTGTAAGAAGGGAGGCATGGCAAGAGCAAGGGACAGACGATTAAAACAAAATAAAAATGAACACAAATAAAAAACCTGAACACAAACTCCAAAGATTCTCAATGCTAAAAAATGGATTTTCAACTAGATGGCTTCATTCTTTTAAAGTCCACTCACCACATAAATCAGAATTATATATATTTTCAAAATAGACAAATAAAGTTGTACCCAAGCCAGCGGAAGATTCTACCCAAATCTTTGGTGAAAATGCTACTTGAAAGTCCCTGTTTTACTTCATTATTCCATGCAAAGACCTCTTCTTCATTCTGAAAGGACAGACATTGGAAGCTGTTAGATGTTACAGTGTTCAGACCAAAGTTCACTGATGTTAAACTCATTTCTTAAGATGTACCAGTATAATTTTAGTGCACAAAAAAATACTGAAGAGTCAACAGCTTACGAATTATGTTTCTCATAATTTGGACCACATATAATAAGTAAAGCATTTGGTGTTTTCCCTCTAATTATACTTTGGGAAACAAAAGATTAGTATATTCTTCCCTCCATTCAAGATACTATATATAACGGCTAATATTTATCCAGTGCTTATTGCTGCAACATACTAATCTAAGCACTTACCATGCATTCAGTTATTTAACCCTCACCCTATAACACAAGCTTTATACTATCCCCAATTTATAGACTGGGCAACTGAGGCCCAGAGAGGCTAAATAATTTGCTTAAGAGCTCACAGTCACACACACACACACAACACAAAACACGAAATTATACTCTCTAGTCCCTATGTATGAAACAATGAGAGACAATTTAAAGCAAGATATAAAGAAATGCAATCATATAATTGCAACAAGGTGCAATTTTCACTATCCTTTAACTGTGAATAATGGCACATTCAAATCTTGATTCAATCTCTGCAGTTGCAAAACTAACCCTAAATATTTGCGGGCAAGGATAGGGCCCATCTCATGCCAGGGAATGAGACCTTCTAATTATCTTCACCTTTTAAAACCTCCATAGCCTGTCCTCTAATGCAGTTTGTAGCTGTAGGTCTTTAGATTGCCCCCACATCTCATTTTGTCTGCTGACACCACACAGCACTCAGGCCATCAAATCAGCCAGTCCCCAAGTTTTGGAGAAGCTGCCTCTGGCCTACCGAGCTCAGAATAAGGTTACACGAGACGAGAGCCACATACTCCATGAACTCCAACACTGTCCACTGCCCACCCCGGCTTCCCTGGCAGCTAACTTGGCATGCTTCATAGTTTTCAAGTGTTATCTCATCATATTTTATTCTGAACCTTCAAATTTCTACTACTCACATGACTTTCTAAAACCTTCCTAAAAGCTAATTGAGTAAAATTTAATACACCTTCATTTTCCCCGTCTTATCATTTATTTCAACATGAGACAAGAGAAAGGAGAAACAGGATCCATTTTTACCTTGAATTTAAAGACGTAGAGAATTGGAGCGAAAGTCTCTGTGTGCGCAATGGACGCGTCATGGGTGAGGCCCGTCACGATCGTCGGTTCTACGTAATTTCCAGGGCGACCCATAACCTTACACACAGAAATGAAATAAAAACAAGGAAAGCACTTTGTTTTCTAGTACTTGGGGTCAGGGGACACAATCTTTGCCTATACTTACGAGAAAAAAATAAACAGCATTTATAGGTGAATTATTTCTCCAAAATAACTTCCTCTCGTGAATGAAAACTGTCCCTTCCTCCTATTGGTTCTAATTTAGTTGGTCAGAGGGAAATAGAGAAAAGGCAGAGTGGGGGTGGAGAGCCATACCAGGTGTCACACCAAGTTACGCTGAAAAACACTGTTGCAAGTGGTTATTTTAAAATTTATGTCATCTTAAAATAGGAAATCTATACCCATTGTATGATAGATTATATCCCCCCAAAATCCCATAAATTGAAGCTCTAATGCTCAATTTGACTACATTTGGAAATAGCACCTTTAAGGAAGTAATTACAGTTAAATGAGGTCATAACGGTGGGGTCTTAGTCCAATTACAGGACAAGGGTCCTTATCAGAAGAAGAAAAGACACGGGAGATCTCTCCCCCTATCTCCGGAAAAGGTCATGTGAGGACATGGTGAGAAGCAGCGTCCACAAGCCAGAAAGAGAAACCAATCCCACCAACCAATCCCATAATCTTACACTTCAAGCCTCCAAAACTGTGAGAAAACGAATTTCTGTTGTTTAAGCCACCAGCCTGTGGTATTTCATTCATTATGGCAGTCCAAGCAGACTAACACACATTGCACAAAACCAAAAACTCCAAAGGGGTATGCTACAGACACTCTTTTAGCTTTGCGCTGTGGCAGTATCATATCCGAGGTGCTATTGTTGCAAATACACACTCTCTTAACCAACCTCATGCGACCAAATTACTAGATCATCTCCACTTAACTAACAGCTGCCTTTCCTCCTACAAAATATTCTGGTGCCCACAGGAAGTGGCTTTGGCTGGTGGGTGACTCCCCAACATGCCCCACGATTCTGCTCTCACCCTGAGTTGTATGTTTACCAGCATCAACTACATTTACTCTTGTGAACTAAAATAAAATTTTAAGGCTCACCTCCCCCACCGACTGACTAAATGGACCCCCTTGTGCCCAAAGGAATATCCTAAAACTAAATTGCCTGCCAGGAGGAAGGAGGTCAGACATGCCTCATCATGCCCCCCTCCCTTCTTGGGGACATCCTTGTAGCCCATTAACAGGCCTAAGGCTATGCAAGACAAACCTGCAGGTCCTCAATTTACACAACAAATCTATGTCCAGTGGCTTATCTCTGATAAAGAGCTCCTTATGTTGAAACATGCCAAGCCTTTAGACAAAGCTTCATGTCTTTAACCAATTACAGGCCAAAGAATCTTTAAACCCACCTATAACCTGTAAGCCCCCACTTCGAGATGGCCCACCTTTTTGGGCCAAACCAATGTATGCCTCCCACGTATTGATTTGACTTTACCTGTAACCCCTGCCTCCCTGAAATGTATAAAACCAAACTGTAACCCAACCTCAGCGAGTCCACTTGCTCAAGGCCTCTTGGGCGTGGCCCGGGTCATGGTCCTCAAATTTGGCTCAGAGTAAATCTCTTTAAAATTACTTTAGAGTTTGGTCTTTTTTTCCGTTGACACTCTCAATCCTGTGTGTGGCAGCTGTACTTGTTATCGTAATGCCATATTGCATTATGTAACATGTAAATATTGGGACACAAAGGGAAAAAGCTATTTCCATCAAGATTAAGTTGAATGCTGTAGACAAAACCCATTATAAGAAAAAAATACACAAATACACATACATACCTTTGTCCAGTTAGATGCGGGTGTACCGATGTTAAGAAAGATCCTGCTCTCAGATTGCTTTGCAAGAGACTCAAGTCTCAGTGAATTTTAAATTAAGTGAAACTAAATTATAGATAATAATACATTATAGGTATGGCTTATGCAAATGTGAAGACGATAAGTTCCTATCATACATGAAAGAAAACATCTGGGCCGTACACAAATTTTATTATATGAGCTAAATTAAGACAAAATTTGGTATCTATTTTTTTGATTCCCTATCTTAACTGACTTTCTTAAAATAACCAATACATATAGATTCCAACTGCTCCAAATACAAAGTCTTCTACTGTACCATGAAAAGGCGGTCTCCTTTCCATACAAATTTTTAGGGACCCAATTCAAAGTCAATCAAGAAGACTCTTGAGTTTTTTGTGTGTCCTCCCAGAAACGTCGCATGCATTTTCTGTTGTCATGCTTTTAAAATGTTTATTTCCCCTTATAATAGATGAGAAAAGTAGGATGCTTTCCCTACTTTACCCAGAGCCCTGCTTGTGTCCAAGGGAAAGAAAGGAAAACGCTACCACAACTGATCTCAGAGCTTTCCTTACCTTGCCCCCATAGACCACTGTGCCACCTTCTTTCTTTGCTTCCTCCACTGCTCCAAGAAACATGCTCACTGCCTGTTTGGTGTGGAGTGGCCCATAGAGAACGTTAGCTGGAGAGAGAAAAGGAATGCTCTTCATCTTGTCCGCTGTAGTGGGAAGGCAGCCGAGCCGCAGATAATATGCAAATGAGCGGGTGTGGCTTTGTGCCCATAAACTAACAGAAATGGGAAGGGCCAAATCTGTTTGCCAATCCCTGGCTTGAGGAACAGCTGTCAATTAATCAGAGCACTGCACTCAAAACACAGGATCAGTTGATTCATGCCAGCGTGACCATTCTCTAGGAGCGTCAGTCTCAGTACTGGCGCGCCATTCAAGGGGAGACTGACGCTGCCCTGTGTTATGACTGCTGGAAATTAGAGCATTGACAGTGACCCAGGGACAGAGGAAGAGTAAGATTTAGGCAGGGCTCTGTGAGGAAGCGGCATATTAGCAGAGCCAGCCACAGGAAGAGCTGGGTGAGGAACAGCAGGACAGAGCCTGTGTGCCTGGAGCACTGCGAAGGCTGGAGGGGGTGGGGCTCAGGAAGCAAGAGGTAAATGCACACAGGAGGGGGTTGCTCGGAAGGCAGGCAGGGCCGGAGGCAGACCGCAGACCAGAGGCAGACCGCAGACCACGAAGGATTGGGAGCCTGGTGAAGAGGGAATCCAGAGGAATCTAGGTTTTAGTCTAAAAGCAACGAGAAGTCACTGGAGTAGTCTTAAGCAGGAGAGTGAATTATCTGATTGCATTTTAAAATCACTCTGGCTACTGTGGAAGGCAGCAGTGGATGCAGGGAGGGTAACCTTCCAAGAGAGGGTGGGTGGTGGCTTGGATGAGGGTATCAGTAGTGAAAGGAGAAAAGCTCACCAAATCTCATCCGGCCAAACATCTCCTGGTCTCACCCACCAGCCAACACGAAGCGCCCACAGTCCTAACCTAGGAGCAGATGTCATCCCGAACAACCGACACTCTGTTTCATGTGCCCTCGGGCCTCCCAGGGAGAAAAACCTCCAGAACTCAGAAGATCAGAAACACTTTTACCACCACCTGTCACAAAGGAATATCTTTGAAAACAGAACCAGATACTCACAGTCCCACGGGTTCCCAACGCGAATCTGTGCGTAGGCCTTTTTAAGTCTATTTACAACCTCATCATGGATGCTTTCATGTAAAAACTGAGTGAAAAAAGAAACACGCAAGGGAATAGTAAAATAAATGTACAAATTTTAAAGCAATGAATAATTTTCTTAATAGTACTCATTAATAGTTCTGAATAGTTATTGAAATATAATCTCTGAAAACATAAGCAAACAGAAGTGAATTTTTAATTATATATTTTCTAATTTTACTATTAACTATTAATACATGAAAATGATTTCCTCTAGGTAGACATTAGAATAAAATTATAAGTCATATCTTTATCAAGTTCCTATAAGATCTATTTGGCTAAGTGTCACAGATCCATTATTCCTGTTTTTGTTTTAGAGCATTTGATGTCTTAATTAGCAGAGGGCCTCAGGTACACTTGTCCCACACTGTAACCCCGTCTGAACACAGAGCAACAGTCACGGCCACTGTGGGAAGCCACATACACTTAGCCTCAGGCCACATGGGTCTCCAGAGTGAGGCTCTTAATCAGACGAGGGCGACCTTTGCACTCTGGGTAGTTGTGAGGTCTGTGCTACGTTTTCAGTGGCAGAGGTGAACTCACCAAACCACCCATTCTCTGGGCTGACATCCATTCTCCAGGTGACAAATGAATTGACATTATGTCAATGGAGAACTAGTCATGGAGAGGTCTGTAGTACTGGAATTTTGTTTTATAGATTCCACTAATTGTCCCTATGGAAATCAACTTGGGCAATGACTAGTAGTATCCATTAATATCTAACATTAAATACAAAGCATGGCTATGTATATTTGCCCCAAGACAAAAAGGAAAAATAAAAGTTGGCTGAACAGAGAAATGTTTGGCTTTCATATCATTTCATATTTCACATGTGATTAAAGGTATAATCATTTGGAGTACCCGTTTCTTCCTTTGCTTTAATGTAATGTTTAATGTAATTTAATGTTTATGGTAAACAAATTCAATAAATTATAAATACTTTATGAACATTGTCAGATTTTTTGAGGACTTCAGCTGAGTAATGTAAAAATAAAGATTTTCATTTGTTGCAAAACACAGGAAAACATAAATATGAAAAGTGTGAGAAAGGTAAAGACTGAATTTTCATACATCTTTTATCTTATTCTAATTAATTTAGATTATGTTAATCTTATAAAGAATTTGTACATACTCATTGTGAATGAGGGCAGAAACCCAAAGCCAATGGCTCTGTAATTCAACTTTTTTGAATTACAAAAGGAAAATTCAACAATAAAAAGTGGCAAATGTACCTAATCAAAACTTATAATACAGTTATACCACAGTTTTCTATACCGTTAAGAGTCATGAAAATCCAGGTTGTACTTCATATTAAACTGAAATCCAGCTCAATATTAGAGATTAAAATTCCCAAACCCTACAATGAAGCTAAACCACATCTCCTTATATACACTTGATATTCATCTTTCCTATATGTACATATGCAGACTATATATTTATATAGAAAGAACACACACACACCCAGAGTCATTTGCTTTTTCAGTAAATCATGTCACTTTAAGATTTGAGGCCAAAAATTTAAATCTTTAAAATGTGTTACTACTTAAAATGTTTTTATAAAAGAGCAAGGCTACCTTTCAGCTAAATGTTTTAGAATTTTTCAATTTTTACCTTGTATTATTGTGTAAGTGACACCGGACTTTGTCCATATAGTTCTAAGAGTAGGACTGAAAACAGGTCTCATCTCCAATGAGATCCCTGTTAGCTTGGGGCAGGAAAAAAGGCAGATCACTGGTAGATTAACAACACCTGCCAAAGCACAGAAGGGAGACTAAAGACCACATATCTGCAAGCCACGTCTAGGGCAGACATCGTTCTAGCAATTCTTCTAAGACACCTCCCTAATAGCAGAATTTGTTTAAAAAGTGATGTTTGAAGAGCAGGACAATCTCACGCACCCATGCAGACAAACTCACCAGCCGCCTCGCAGTGGTGCACCTCTGGCCGGCCGTCCCTACGGCGGCAAAGAGAGCCGATGGAACTACTAAGCCGAGGTCCGCATCCTCGAAAGCTTAGAGAGGCACAAACATGCCCGTCAGTGCAGCAAAGTAGGCAGACAAGGACCTTATTAACTGGTATAAAACAATGCCTTTAAAAAGTGTGACACATGTACCCATAAATATGCAAAATATTATATATCAATAAAAGAAAAAATAAGTACAGTCAGAGAATGTGAAAACTGTTGTTATAAAGTAAGCATATTAACATCTCAGAGACGTAGACACATGTGTGTCGGGGGAGAGGCACATTTTTCTTCTAGGGAAGATTATATGAAAACAAAGCAATGAGCTCTATGAGCTTTACCCAAGCACAGAGGTAAATTGAGGCTCTCAGTCCTCTGACCTCTTCATCGTCCAGCTTTCAGCTCCTGACACAGACTGAGACTCCTCTGAATTTGCCTGCAGTCTCATCCCATGGCCTATTTTGATGTCAGCTTTTCTGGGCCCATAGATCATTAGAGAGGACAACATACCCCTCTGACCATGGCCTCGCTAGCAACATCTGAGCACTTGCTTGTATCAGGAGATTCTCTGTTGCTGCCCTACAGAAGCTTTTCCAAATCTTTGAAACACCTCTGCTCTCTACTCCTGCACCAGCTGACCTCACCTCATGGAAAAAAAATCTCAAAGCACTCCATCCAAGGCCCTTTGGCACTTCCTCAATGCAAAATCACTTCCGAATTCCTCTCTACTTTTATCTATTCCTTCCTGCACCTCTGTTCTCAGAAGGAAAAATCAGCATAATCTTTACAAAGTTAATCTTTCCACTTATATTATTTGTAATTCCTCCCTTCTTATACCTTCTAGAAACCTACAATCACAGTTCCCTCCTAGCATCCATGTTGTCCTTGCCAAGCCTCCTCAGGCTAGCATGATGGTTAAGAGGGTAGTTGGTGCAAACGGACCATAGTGTTTATCCATCTCCACCACTTTTTTAGTTGTACTATTTTAACCTTTATGCCTCAGTTTCCTCATCTGTAAAATGGGGTAATGATGCCTGCAGTACTAACAGATAGTAGCAAGGAGTTAAGGAAAGATCTGTGCTCTGATGCCAGGTTGCTGATACAAAGGTCAGCATTTGTCACTTCAGATACACAATCATTTTAAGTCTCAGAGTAACCTTCAATAAGATTAATAATGGTATCTTCTTCAGAAGTTTGTGGCGGGCATTAAATGAAATAATGCATACCAAACAGCCGAGCACAGTCCCTAGTAGACACCAGTGCTCACTAAATGCTAACCACATGTTTTAATGAAGTCTCTCTTTAGATTAGAAGTTCATTTGGAATGAACCTTTCACCATATACTTTTTATACCTCTGGTATAAATATCTAGGCATTTAAACATGATGACGAAGATGATGAGATGGCAATATAGAAATCAGCAAGCTTTGCTTTTTATCGCAAAAGCCATGCTTCTATTAAATCTCAACCTACTGATTTTCACTACATTATCCAGAAGTTAGACTATTTCCTTTTGTTACAAATTCAAACAATTAAAAAAGAGAATTAAGCAATCTTTTTTTTTTTTTTGAGACAGTCTCATTCTGTTGCTTGGCTAGAGTGCTGTGGCATCAGCCTAGCTCACAGCAACCTCAAACTCCTGGGCTCAGGCGATCCTCCTGCCTCAGCCTCCCAAGTAGCTGGGACTATAGGCATGTGCCACCATG